GTGAGGATTCTGGAGAGAGCCAAACTTCGCAGCCCAGCCTGTTGGTGGCATCTAAATAAAACTTGTGGGTTGTACTTTTTTTCCCCCTCCTTGCCTAGAAGGTGCTATTGCCTGTGATGTTAACAGATAATCTCGTTTGGAAATCCACCCTGTGAAGTGCCTGTGCTGGGGCTGAGAAGGGGGAAACGCAGTTTGACCATGGAAGTTCATGTGGTTTTCAGCTAGTGGTGAAATTCCCAGTTTATTCTTAGTATTTCTCTTCGTGCCGATTTGTACACAACTTAAAATCCAAATAATTCAATAATCATTTGCATAAAGGCACTTACAGCAGGTTTTCTTTATTTGCATTGAGTGGTCTGAAACCGTACTTGATTCAGGTGATATTTTTTCATCATTATGTTGCAGCCCCATTATAAAGAACCTCTCTCTTTCAGGTTTGCAGGAGGTTGGGAATTATAGAAGTTGATTATTTTGGACTGCAGTTCACTGGCAGCAAAGGGGAGAACCTGTGGCTGAACTTGAGGAACAGGATCTCCCAGCAGATGGATGGTTTAGCCCCGTATCGATTGAAATTAAGAGTCAAGTTTTTTGTAGAGCCGCATCTTATCTTACAAGAACAGACAAGGTAAGTGTAAAGTGGCTGTAACTAGATTTAATTTATTATTTTGTTTTCAATTTCCCAAGCTTATGAAAGTGAATACTCACTGGTTTTTGTTTCTTTTACCTTCTGATAATCTTGTGTGAGTTTTCTGTGTAGTTCTAAAACCTTAGTGTTATTTGAACGTATTATTCCTTTTTTTGAAAAAAAAACCAAACCAAAACACAGAAATCAATAAATACATTGTGAGTAGTGTTGGTAGTAGTGAGTCATGGGTGTAGGTAGTTCCACGAGCAGTTAGTGCTGGAAGTGGAAGAAACTAAGCTGCTGGTAGCAAATTATTTCTGTGGTATTTGGGTGTCCGATAGTAACCCCTGTTTGGTGGTGTTACTCTAGGTCGTTCTAAACCACTGGTACAGAAAGGCAGGAAACAATTCCTCCCACAGAGCAAAAAAACTTGCTGAGTTCCCTTTTGTTTGGTATTATGTTACAGTAACTTTCAAATAGCTGCAGGCCCTTTGAGGCTACAAAAGAAACAGCTGTTTTGCTTCTTCTGTGGACAGTCCTCAACTAAATTGTTTTGCTGCTAGCCAGTCATTAGAATGAGTCTTCTAAGATTAATAGTGAACACTTGCTTTTGACTCCTTGAGTTTGATTACCACATGAATTGTGATTGTTATCTTTAATGAAAGCTGTGCACCTATGTATTTAGTGGTGACCTTTAAACGACTTTTTCTTGTTTGTTTTAGATAGTACAGTTAATATAAATAGGGCTAATTGAAATCTAGTGTCTATAGATAATGCCTAAACACGTTTTCACTGCTCACCTTAACTTGGTACTTCCAGAACGCAGACTGTGGGTGCAGCATGGTGATTGTGCAGAGATTTGTCTAAAGAACTTGGTCAGAGGCTGCCAGCATGATTTGGTGTTCATTTAATTGGAAAAGGGTTTTGTTTGAGTTAGGAGCATGCCTGCATTGTGTTATTTTTGAAACTGATGTGGAGGGGATCAGTCTGGTTGGAGTTCTTAGAATGCTATGGAGTCAGACTGTAGTTGTCCTATATAGAATAGCTTTAGTTAGGCAAATGCATTCTTATCAAATTCCAGGTTTGATGGGCTTTTATTTTAGAAAAATAAATTTTAGTATCTGTGGCATTTCTTCTGGGCTCTTTCTGAGCATTTTCCTTAAAGAAACTTGTCCTGTTATTTAAATATTCTCAGTAAGAGTAAGTATAAAAACAAATAATGAAGGGTTTATGTAGAACAAAGGGAGCAACACAACTTCATACCTGATGAGGCAGAAGAGATTACACTGAGTGTGTTGGATGTGTCTCCACACAAAGAGCAAATCAGAGAGAATCTGAGGAAACCTAAAGCTGATGTAATTGGCGCTTTTTTGCTGCTTTTGATGAACGTTTGTTCAACTTCACAAGGTTTTGCAGACACCTGTGTTCCTGCCTTCAACACTGTCAGTGCAAGATTTGGCAGGTTGTGCAAGTTAAGAGGGCTTGAACTGGTGAAACATGCCCAAAGGGCTCAGAAGACAAGTTGTGTAGTGAGAATGTAACAGAGCTTGTAGAGGTACATCAAAGGAGCAAGTACTTCTCCATGATAAAGATGACTTTAAAAGGCTGCATGTGTGACAGGATTGTTTTTCTGTATGAGTTAACACTGTTCTAAAATTAATACTAACAAACAATTTTAAAATTAATTGAAATTGTCACCAGAAAAGATCTATTAAAATTCTGCTCTGGAAGTAACTACTTACAACTTTGGAAGGCAAGAGGCATTGAAACTAGTATTTAATGATCACTCTCACAAACACAAATAGTCTTGAGGCTTAAGCTAAGCTGTTGCATCTAGGTCCTGAGTATTTTTAGTGTTCTTGCTAAAAACACAAAGTTGTAAAACAATTTGCAGCTGGTGCCTTCTACTCGTGTGTGCCCAGTAGTCTGCACATAGCAGACCCTGAGCTCCATGGTGCCTGTGGTTAGTGTGTTTCTGTAGCATTGACACCAAGTTTCAGTAGATTTACATTTTCTTCTACTCAGTTCTGCTTATTAAATCTCCATATTTAGTTTGCATGTAAACATGTGGTATCAAGAAGAGGAAGAAATTGCTAAACCTGTCACTGACCTTTAAACCAGTAGGTATGTCATAGATTGGCAAGGATTAGCTGGGCACTTGGAGCTGACACCTAGTGTCTTACCTTCACTTGCCAAGTCAGTGTGCTGGCTGATGATGGAATAGTGATGGGTATCCTTGGCTTCCTGGTGCTTCTGGCAGAGCTGGAGCCTTCTGGTCCCTTGTGTGGAGAACACTGAGGATGTCTCCCAGTCTTTTACTTACTGCTTCTGATGCTGGATTTACATATGGATTAGATGCATGACCTGGGAAGCTGCAAGTAATTCCAAATTTTTGTTGATACTTGTCAACACAATGATAATAGGGAATGTTGTGTCTGAGTTGTTACTGTCTTTATCTACTTTGGAAGCTGTGTCAACCCCCGTTGTACTGCTGCCTGAGAGGCCCCTGTGTTGCACTGAAATGTAAAACTGGTGTGTTTGCAGCAATTTAAGCTTTAGGTTTCTCCACAGTGTGTGAAAAGCTGATATGGCAACTGAATATCAACTTCTGTTAGCTTTAATCAGTGTGTGATTCAGTGGAAGCGCACAGCTTCCTGCATTGTCATCTGCTTATGCAAGGAAGCCTTCTTGCTACCAAGGGCAAAATCAGAGCAGGTTATAAATCTACCTTTGGCCACCACAACAGCAGACCACCTTCACCAAGCACTTGGTGGGTGGATGGGAGAATTGTGTAGGGGAAAAAAAAAACCAACCTCTTGCTACACTGTCTTTCCTTTCACGGGGTTAAAAGGGGTTAATTTCTATTGTTCTTTGGATCTCAATTTCTAACTTTTGACAGCCTGAATTTCACTGCAGGATTTTGTGAATGAGAATTGTTTTCAGTGGAATAAAAATGCTTCAGTGCAAGAATGCTAGTCAGATTTAATCTGCTGCTGTCAGCTGGAGTATTACAAACAAGTCTGAAATGTGAGCAGTGTGCTTGTTTATAGCATGGTAACTATACATTTTTAAAATTAAAATTACATTGGCTTACAAAGGACTGCTGTTTTTTTTTTGCCTAGAAGATACATGTGATGGTCCAAGAGCCAGATCATAAGCTCTGGCTTGTCATGCTTGTTTTCACTGTTTTAGTTAATAGAAAGTTAAAAGTAGGTTGTTTTGTCAAAATGATTTATGAGTGGTTTTTGGATCTAATTTTTCCAGTGAGGAGCTGGGACTTTGAGAAATTATTTTCCTTTGCTATTGGAGATTTTCAGTCAACTTTGTGACAGGGCAGGGGGAGCAAAAAGGCCTTGCCATTGGCCTGCACTACTGTCTCGGGGCAGGAAATTCCCTGGCTGGGGCTCAAAGCTCTCTTTGTGGAGCACGTAGCAGAGGAGCCTTGAAATTACATCCACCTGAACAATGAGAGCATTTGCTGAGCTCTACAAGAGGCAAATTGTGCCAAACTGGTGTCCAGGAGAACAAAAGTTTAATGTCCAGCAGATAAAATCAACATTGTGGTGATTGCACATAAGTAGAAATAATTTTTAAGTGAATCATTTTTTGAGCAATGCAAGATTTACTCAGATGTACTTGAAAACTGGCAAAGTTAACTCTCTTGTGTAATATGACTGAAGATCAAATACTCATGTGTAAGGCATGACCATTTAAAAATAACAGATCAGATTCTAACAAGCCACATGATTTCATGAAGCATTCACAAGAGCTGTATTTTGCCAGCCTTGAGATAGGCAATTACTGCTTTGGAAGCTGTTGAAAGTTGTGTGTGATGTGTACCAGTATGTGAATTATATTTACAAAGTACATTGGTTTTGCAGTGTTGTCCAGTTCTTTTGATGACTTGGTTAATATTAAGAAATGGGAAATACTTTGAGCTGTGGGATGTGTGTAGTAGGTAGAAAATCAGCAAAACATCCTGTTGTCCTCCAGCATTGGCTGGCCGGTGGAGTGGTGGTGTGGCATTTGTTACAGTGCAGGAGAAGTCTGCTGTCACTGACACCAGGGTGAGTTTAATGATCTGTTTGTCTCCATCAGAGTTGAATTGCAGCTGGTAACCTTTCACCCACTCTGCTGAGAGCAAAGAACAACAAAGACTGAGGAACATAATTGTAACTGTGGTGGCTTTGCTTTTTCATAGGGTGGCCTTGTATCTGGGTTCAAAAACAGAATGACATTATGTTGGTGAAGGATCCTTATCAACATTTTTATTGAGAACAATAATGCCTTTTAATTTTGATCCCTTTTGACTATAGAGAGTTTACTCTAGAGATAAAAATAGAACTCTGCTTCATGGTAGGAAAGAGCCTTCTCCTGTAGTAAGGAGGGTCATACCCCAAAGAGAACTGACATTTCCTGGCCAAGATTCTTGCCTGTAGGCTGGCAAGAGAATGGGTTCTTTTGGCTATACTTGCAATTTAGGAATTATTAGTCATATACAGATACTTTTGTCACTTTTTCCACTGGTAGCAAAGTTTAGAGCTTAAAACTTTTAATAGTCTTTAGATTTCTATTTGCCCTGTTTTCCTTTCCTAGTTTAAAGTAATAGAAACAAAGTTTTTGGTGTAAAGCTTTAAGTCCTGATGCATGTAATTGTCTTCAATGAATTAGAGAAATTAATCCAGAATTATGTATACTCCACAGTTTTCATAGCACTTAGTAGGGCTGTTATTGCCAGTTCAGGTGGCAAAACTGCTTTTTCTTCCTTTCCAAAGGAAGATCATCCTGCCTGGGCAGTGACTAATGAAGTATTGCTTTGGCAAACTTGATGCTTTGTCCTCTAATCAGTATTTCTGTTATTATTTCTGTTATGAAATACAGCATACGAGTTACTTCTCAAATTTATAGCAGGTAATATTAATGTATCATGTGTAACTGAAGTGATGAATGATGCACAAACAAAACCAGTTTCCTGTATGGTGGTCAAACTGGGACATTCTACCAGAAATGGTAGAATAGTCACCTTTCAAGACTTCAGTTATAAAAGTTCAATTTTCAGTTTTAAATTTATTTTTCATAATTCGTTTAAAAATGTTAATTTTCAGTTCATTATTTTAAAACTGGCTAGGTAAAAAATTCCATTAACTGTAAAATACTAACACAGAAATAATTCTGTGAAAAACTAAGTACCTTTTTACTGTACGACCTGAGTATCTGTAGAGGTAGGAAAAGCTTTAACAATTGTTTTCATTGTATCTAGAGATTCCTAGTGAGGAGGGACAGTGGATTGAGTGTTGTTAAGTGATCAGGTCACAATCTAATTTACAAAAGTTTATGTAAATACTTTGTGGTAATGTGAGCAGGTTTTCTGCAGACAATCTGTTGGGTCCTTTAGACTTTGCAGAATTAGACAAGAAACTGCCTCAAAGCTCCAAATACTTTAGTTCTTCTTGACTATATACAGCACTAAAAGCAGATTCTTTTGCATTTTTTTTCTATGGTTTAAAACCCTTTTTTTGAGTTTTATGTGAAAAGAAAAAAATCTGCTTTTATAATCAGATTATGCATGGTGTCACGTTTTGAACCCTGCAAGGGGATAGTTTTTGTAATTGATCCCATTAATATAACTTTGGAGAAGTACCATTTTAGGCTGGATGGGTAAATCAGAATCTGCACTAATAAATTTCTTTTAGATGTACAAAATGTTTACAGCCTTCACAATCTTTCAATTTCCAGATGCTTTTCCAATTTCTAGATGCTTTTCCTTCCTCAAACAGTTAAGGACTCAAAATGGAAAAAAATGGCAGTGAATTTGCTGCCTGAACTTTGGGTCAGGGCAGCTGCTCTGGCAGACCAGCATGAAGTCATCCCCTTCAGAAACTCATGTCCCTGGCAGGCCCCCTGGTAACTCGTTTCTGCCATATTATGGGTGCAGTTGAGGCAGTGGGCTTGGGCCAGCAGTGGGGTTTTCTAGGTGTAGACCAGTGATTTAAAATAAAGTGCCTTAATCTCTCAGATGATTTCTGCTATGATAGGAGTCAGTTACAGGGAGTTACTGCACACTAGCTGGTGTGGTGCTGTTTCACATTGTGCCTTAATCTTGTTTGTCTCCCTGTGCCAGCACTGGGTTTTTAGTAATGGGGGGTGACAAGCCATGCCTCTGCTGCAGTTGTTTCTGTAGTGCATCCATCTTCTGTTTTTCAGCTGCCCACTTGATGTCAGTAGGGTCTTCCCAGTGAGGGGAGAGGACTGACTGTTCCCTGTGCAGTCACTTCTGTCATATGCATCAAATAAACTGAAGAAACAAGCATGTAGGTGTGGTAGTTGTGAACATGTCAGCTAATGAGAATAAAATTGTCAGATATTTATTTGAAATGCTGTATGTGTAATTAGTACACAGTTATAATGACTGGGAAACCTGTTCAGGTATTAACAGAGTATCAGAAGTGCATGAAAAGCCATTTATTTTATGAAGTGTTGATTGGAATTAAGGAAATGCCTACTATCTGAATTGATTGTGACAACAGAGTTTTAGTAATTCATCAAATGCTTTGTCTGGATTTATGGACTGAGCCCCAGGAGGAGCATGTGCAACCTGTCCATCTGAAGAGCCACAGGTACACCTTTCTGGGGCTCAAGCCACGAGAGTTAAGAATGAGCAAGGTAGGAGAAGGGGATTGGAGCAGAGGTTTGGGACTTGCTCCAAGAAAACCCTAACCAAGGAGTAACCTGCTAATGGTGGAGGCAGCTGTACTGTTTGAAGTTCTGGTTGTCTTGTCACATAAATTTGTCCTGCACAGTGAGGACATGAGCTTCCACCAGATGCTGACTAGAGCTGCTGAAGTGTGAACTGAGGTCTAGAGATGAGAGTGGTGCAGTTAAGCACTGGTCAAACTGCCGTGCAGCTCTAGCGTGCCTCAGGCTGCTTGCAAAGGGAGGCGTAGGGCAGCTTAGGGGACAATTTAATACCTGGGGTTTCCTGATTTTGACAGTTTGAGAGGTGTAGCATCTTTTGGGCCAGTATTTTCTTAGCTGCAGCATTTACTGTAGTAGAGCTAAGAATGAAAACAAATTTTCCAAGTTATGTGATTGCTTATGGTGGTGGGAAAGGCAGGATTTGCCCTGTTGTACCTGGATTTGTAGGGCAATACAAGAAGATACATGTAAGATATTGTCCAAAATTGCTGCTGGAAGGAAAGCAAATCACTTGCTAGCATCTTGACCTTGAGTATTGAGTGCTTCAATATAGCTTTTCAAGAAAAGTATGTTACACTTGATTTTAGGAAAAGCAAAATGTAAATGTCTCATTACTGTGGAAGCTAAGACATATCCCTGTGGGTACTAGGCTTCACTTATTGACTTTTTTTCCCCAGTTATATGTAACTACTTCTGCATCTGGTTTCTATAAATATGATGTCTTCAGAACAAATGCTAAGAAATTTTTATTACCCTCCCTGAGGGAAGATAAGAATGAATTTATAGAAGTTAAGGTAGACTATAGTGGAAATTAGCAGGCTGCTGTTAGTGCTGGTGGAAATTTTGATTTGTCTAATTAACTGACCTATTAAATAATGAAGAGGAGTTTTGTGAGTGTTTCAGCTAGCTGTCAAACTTGCCTTCATCCCAAGTGTAAAGGTTTGTCTGACAAATGCTTCCACAGTAGATATTTTTGTATTTTATTCCACATTGCCTTCTCAGATGTTTCAGTTTATTCTGCTGACTGTGTTGCTGGCCAAGCACCATCTTTGCTCTAGTGGCAGAGGCATTTCAGCTGCATGGAGAGTGTGGCTTCTCCTGCTGCATGATGGGGGTGTGGATGGATGCTGGTTTGGGCTGCTCTTCACAGATGGGCTTTTCTGAAGTACAGAATAACTTGTAAATGGCAACCAAAGAAATTTAAACATGGGAAACTGATCCAAATATATTTTGTTGCTGTTTCACTCACTAATTGGAAAACACCAAGTGGCCTTAGGTGTTGAAGCATTTCCTATTCTTAAGAGCATGATATTAAAGTGTCCATTTCTTTTAATAGTGCTTTTAGATAATGTCTCCAGTTGTAGCCTCATCTTTAAGTGGGATTAGTAAGATGGGCCCCCTTTTCTTTCCCTTGTGCCAGACTTCCTCTGCTTGGTACATTCATTGCAAATTCTTGGTTACCAAACATACCTGAGTTATTTGATATGTATCTTGATTACAAACCTCATTTAACGTTTTGTGTGAGCAAACATTTCGGATTCCATTGCAGGCACATGTTTTTCCTGCATATAAAAGAAGATCTTCTTGCTGGTAATCTTCAGTGTTCTTCAGAGCATGCAATTGAACTTAGTGCACTGTTGGCACAGATGAAGTTTGGAGATTATAACCAGAACACTGCCAAGTACAACTATGAAGAGTTGTGTGCAAAAGAGCTCACCACTACTATTCTGGAGAGGTAAATATGGTATAACCTCCTTTGTGGAGACCAAAAGCATAGGATTTTAGTTACTGGTGCTGTAGTGTATATTGTGGTGTTTAAAAAAAAAAGTAAATTAGGTACCTTTAGAGATAAAAATGCAACCTGAATGTTTAACTAATGTCTTAGACCTACACTTATGAAAGAAAGTTAACAAGCATTTGTGGCTTACTACCCTTACACTGAGAGGTAAACAAGATTCCCAAAACATCTTTGTAGCTCAGTTCCTGAATATTAAGAAACTTTCAATGTGTGATGCTTTTCTGTGGATTGTTTTTCACTGATGAGCTTAGAGGTTGTTTGGGTAAATGCATTATAGGGGTGGGGGTGTTAGTTGGGATGCAGCGTTTTAAACTCCAAGCAAATGCACGGTAGTGTCTCCTGAACATTCTTGGTATGTTCTGGTAATTTTCAGTTCTTTCCAGTTCACGATGACTGTAAATCTATAGTCAGATAAAGGAGGTCAGGAGCATTTAATAATCTGTTTAACTAGGTCATCTAAAAACCCATGTTAAAACAAGCTGCTGATGGTAACGGCACATACTTGAGTCATTTCACCTATCTTTAATCTTTTTATCAACAGCATTATTGCAAAGCACAAGGAGCTAGAAGGTCTGAGTCAAGCTTCTGCAGAATACCAGGTTCTACAGATTGTTACAACCCTGGAGAACTATGGGGTAGAGTGGCACTCGGTGAGAGACAGTGAAGGGCAAAAACTCCTTATTGGTGTTGGACCTGAAGGCATATCCATCTGTAAAGATGACTTCAGTCCTATCAACAGGTATGTGCTTTGTGGAACTGTTCTCATCTTCTGTTTTCCAAAAGTACTGAACATGCCTTTACTTTTTACATAAATATACAGAACTGCTCTCTGAATTACTAAAAGGAGCTATTAGGAATGTTGAGTCTGAGGAGACTAACTGCATATAACCAAGACAACAACTGGCCTTAATATTCTTGGTTTTTGTATGGGTTTTTGAGGTGGCATCTTCAGTCCAGCATTACAGACAAGGATCAGAGATCATTGTAACATCTGATGAAAGTGGACTGTAATAGGTTGTGGGAAATGCCCTTCTCCTTAAAAGCTGAATAACCTTTCTTTTATTTTTTTTTTTACATTCATTTATAGGATTGCTTATCCTGTTGTTCAAATGGCAACTCAGTCTGGGAAGAATGTGTATCTAACTGTTACCAAGGAGTCTGGAAACAGTGTAGTTCTCTTGTTCAAGATGATCAGTACAAGGGCAGCGAGTGGACTCTACAGAGCAATTACAGAGACACATGCATTTTACAGGTCAGTATTGCCACTAGAGCCAACTGCTGCTGCTCTTCTCAGCAGTGTTTCAGTTAAGTGTTGAGCAGCCAGCAGTCTGACTGCACTTCAGAAATTCTCTGTGAATTTTTACTCTTTGCAGCCTCTATCCTCCTAAATGCAGAAGTTGAATAGGTTTTTCCTGCTTTCCTTTTTGGGGGGTGGGAGTACAAAAAAAAGCAAAATTTCTTAGTCTACTGCGGTGAGTAGCAGTGCTTCAGAATATAAACCTGCTGTGCTCTTTGATACCTCATAAACAAGGTATCCCATTTTTTTGTCCCCATGGAAGAGGGAGTATGAGAGAGCAAAGGAGACAAAAGATCCTTCCCTTCCTTCAGGCTCTGTAGGCACAGCTCATATGCACATGTACTCCTTGTCTCTCCTTTGACTCCTCCAGCTGCTAGAAGTTATCTGTATGCCACCTTCCTGTCCCATGTATGGAAATCTTCAGCCTGCAGTTCCTCTGTCCCTGTGCCCAGGGTTTCGTTTCATGCCAGCAGCTGCCTGTTGTCTTCATCCTATTGTTCTTTGGGGTAGGGGTGCTATACTCATTTATTGATCACTGATTTTTTTTTTTAACCTCTTTTCATTCCAAGTGATCAGTAGAACTGTCACAGACACTTAGTGCTGTTTTCTCTATTAACTACCACATAGCAGTTGCCATTACTTTGTAACAGAATTGGACTTAAAGCAAAGTAAATAGAACAGACCTGTCCAGCTTCTCAAATTTGTTCTTTTTAATACAGTTACAGCAATGAACATCAACTAGTTGTCTTTCTAACCACTGCAGCTAGTCACTGCTTTTTTTTGTGGGCCTGATGTTTATCATGTCTTGTTCTGCCCTGTAATTATGCTCTTGCACTGTTGTTTTGCACTCTTCATACTTTTTTCCAGGCTATTAAAGTATTATATAACTTCTTAGCCAGTCTTAACTTTCTGATCTTTGTCTCTGCTTGTAACTTCTGCTGTTCTTTGCAGTTTCTGATTTTAATTTAAACATAATTTTAGTTGGGCAATGGCATTTGGTCCTAAGCTTAGATCTTGTTTGTGTTTTCTGTCCTATGCTGTCTGGAGAGGCAGTATGCCTTACTAAGCTTCTGCAGATGTAACTATGTCACTGAAATACATCACAAGCGTGGTCAGGGTAGCTGAAATACCCAGTGGCAAGGAAAATGGCTTAATTTAATTTTATACACTGCATTCACACTGATTCCCTTCAGCTGTATTAATACTACTATGTAATATACTGAGTGGAAATTTGGTTAAAGACATGATTTGACTCTGTGCTAAAAGCTTTTGAGAGCCTGTCTAAAGATTTATGCCAAAGACTTTTAACTGGAATTCTTCAGTGCAGTTTGGAAATAGCTGTTCAAGGAGGTGTTGCCAAGCTGGACTGTGGATTAAGCAAGTCTTGGCTGTTTATATTAGCATTATGCCTTAAGTCTCTTCCATAGGTTGTGACTCCATTTTACAAGATACTTCCCATTTTTGGAGATGTAAAATAACTGTCACTTGTTCATTTTACACTTCTCAAAGTAGAGTTGTCACACAAACAACATTTAAGAACTTAAATATTACCTCAGACTGCCTTATTTGCTCTAACTTCAGTGCTGTTAACTTCAGCCTCATGAACAAATTATTGTAGGGGTAGGTTTATTGGTATTAGCTAACCAGATTTGCATTTGTCCTGTTCTGTAGGTGTGACACTGTCACCAGTGCTGTCATGATGCAGTACAGTCGAGACTTAAAGGGCCACCTGGCATCTCTATTCCTGAATGAAAACATTAACCTGGGTAAAAAATACGTCTTTGACATTAAAAGAACATCAAAAGAAGTTTACGACCACGCAAGGCGAGCTCTTTATAATGCTGGCATTGTGGATCTCGTTTCAAGAAGCGACCAAACCCCACCAAGTTCCCCCCTGAAGTCTTCAGAGAGCAGCATGAACTGTGACAATTGTGAGGGTCTCAGCTGCCAGCAGACGAAAGCTCTGCAGGAGAAGCTGCGGAAGCTGAAGGAGTCCATGCTGTGTATGGTGTGCTGTGGAGAAGAAATAAATTCCACCTTCTGTCCTTGTGGCCACACAGTCTGCTGCAAGACCTGCGCTGCCCAGTTACAGGTAATGGCAATGCTGTTAAGATGTGAGTTACCCAATATGTGCAAGTTCTGTTTTTCTGAATAATTAAGTTATGGATTAGTAAGTTTATGTTGACATTCTAGTCAAAATTATCTTTAATGTTTTGGTAAATGAATTCCAAAGCACGTTGTTTAGATGCTGCATTTGAAAGGTGAGTTTTAGCTGTCCTAACTTGTAGTGAGGGTAGAAGTTGTCTGCATGTTTCTCATGATACCCTGTTTTGGGTACAGAGATGGAAAAAAGCACTCTGTTGTTGCATTTGTGGAGGGAAGTCTCCCATAAGTGTGGACTCTCAGAAGAAAACCTGATTCCCTCATGTTTTTCCTTCCCAGTCGTGTCCCGTGTGCAGGTCTCGCGTGGAGCATGTCCAGCACGTGTACTTGCCAACCCACACCAGTCTCCTCAACCTGACTGTGATATGATCAACGCACCCACTTTGAACCCATCATGGACTCTCTAAACTGCACTAATAGAAATGCAACCATTGATTGTGAAGAAGGCAATCACTTGGCACCTCTCCACCATCAAAAGCAAAAATACTGCATTTCTTACCATGAATATTCCTCGTTCAGCATGTCCAAAATGGGTTGGGATAGCTTTTGGGAGCAGAAGTGTACTTGTGTTACTTAAAAGGAGGACGATGTGTAAGTCTGGGGTGTCGCCACCCAGACAGGTAACCCTGGAGAAACATGGTGTGTACATGGACATAGCCAGCAAGAGCAGTGCAGCCTTCTGCTCCACACTCTCTAAACCCTTTTTAGTACAGTGGCTCCATTTATTTTCATAGTAAGACTAGCTTTTACACATACCAGTTTAGTATGGCTCATAGTTTCTGCTTTTAGTAAACTGCCTTCTTTTTAAAAAAAATGGTTCTTAAACTGAAGTTCCAGGGCTTGGTCAAGCAGCTGTGTTGAAGTCAGAATTCTATTAAATAGAGGATTCCGAGATAATAGCTCTGGAAGGGTAGGACAGGTGTGTGAAGCTCAAGGTGTTGAGGGTGGGTTGGGAAAGTCTCTTCTGGTTGGCCAGGTCCTGTGGCAGCACCATAACGGGAGGTCGCTCAGCTCTCAACGGGCAACACGCTCCCAGACGTCCAACATCCAGCTTGGGTGGCCTCAGGAGCTGCAGTCAGCTGCCCTTTCAGTTGGCTTTATCCTTGGAGACTGATTTTAAACCATGAAACTTGTACCATTAATTTCTAAAATAAGGGTTTGTGTATAATTTTAACTGCTTTCTTCAGTTAACGTCTTTATTGGGAAGATCATTTCCTGCTAAAATGTCTTTGATCTCCACCCCCCTACTTGGGCATTTGGGGCTCTGGTTTCCTAGTGTGTTCTCCAGGGTGTGGAGGGAACTGGAGACCACGTTTGGGTGCAATACTGGCTTAATCCAAGCTAGAAAAGTACACTGTCACTTTACTGAAATTCTCTGACTATACTTTTCATATTGCCTTAATGTAGCAGTAATGTGTGTTTATGCATCTGTTTCTTTGCACAGACATTTTGTCAAGATATTAAAACTCTACTTTTTTATGACACATTAGCATATAAACCTTATTCTAAGAGGGTATTTATTTTTTCACTTTGTAAAGAAAATTTTGTTTCCTCATGAAGCAAGAGCTTTGTCCTATATCGTAGGCAACTTCTGTCTTTTTATATTCAGATTAATAAAGGACTTTAAAAAATCTATGTTGTGTTCTATGTTGTGTTAATTTTTTTCTGAAATTCATTTGAGGCATTATTGAAAAATACAGTATGAAGTAGTTTCATGTCTACCACCTTGAATGTTGTGTTTCAAGAGGTAATAAAGTTTACTCAGGTGAATGCAAATTTCAAGGAAGGGAAGAAAACAGACATGGTGTAAGCACCTTTGTTCAGGCAGTGTGCCTGAAACAGCTGTCACTCCAACTGTAAAACAGCCTTAGCAATTTTGTGAAGAACTTCCCTACAGTAAATTGCCCCAAATATGGGGTATGTTCCAGTGAGATAAATGGAAAAAAATGCAGCTTGGGAGTTGGAGTTTCAGCAGTCCTGTCTAGGGAAGTTCTTCATTACAGGTGTGTTGGTGTCTCTTTTGACTGAAGCTATTTGTATTTATGACCTCAGGACTCTTGCATTCCTGAAGAGCTGGTGCTTGAGCACTTCCACCACGGTGCTCTGCCTTACCCCCACAAAAAGCTCAAGGAGGCAAGACATGCTGCGATCAGACCAGAGCACTCTGGAATCCACGGGGCTCTATTCTGGCAAGTGTGAACTGAAGTCACTGAACTATGACCTTTTCAAATTAATTTATTGCTGTTTAAAGCAGGTGATCACAGAGTATTGTGTCCTATTGTCAAGGCAGTTCGTCAGGAATTGAAGCTTGATGCCATGGAGCTAAAATTATTTTAGGCTGTCTCTGAAACTGCTGATCAGGGAGGGGGGAAGGTGGCTGGCAACTAGGCAAGGAATTCTGAATACAAGTGCATTAGGCACTTAATCTTGTAAAGATGGAAATTAAATCTCTCAGCAAGTAGGTGCCACTGAATTCACTTTCAAAGATGATAAAAGGTTTAGAAGAAAAGTTGTGTTGTCCCTATACGCCCTCTGGAAGGAAGGTGTGCACAAGAGTTCAGAGAAGAGACTGCCCAGCTGCCTCTGCCCCTGTATGGTAGCACCAGAGCAACAGGATCACTTTGTTCTGTGCTAACAGAATTACATTAGTAACATCTAATCCATCATCCTACAGCAGGTGCCTGAAATGGGTTGTAAATTAATATAAATAGATGTTAATACAGGCATCTGATTTAAAGCATTCAACGAGATCAAGCTCTTAAAGGCAACCATTAACTCCAGGTCCTTGTAATTAAATTGGCTGTGTAATTAGACATCCCTAATAAAAATAATTCTGGTAGTTAGAACTCTAATCAAGGGTGGGGTTTGACATGCAGGGCACCAGTGGAATTGAGGGAAATGCCATGACTTCTGTAAGCACATTCTGCCTAGTCCTGACAAGCTCCGCAGAGGATGGGGCAGAAGTGAGAGGCAGGTCCAGACCAGAGTCTGGCAAATACTGGTTGTACCTGAGAGTGCTGGGAGCCTGGTTCTGAACTGGCAGAGAGCATGGAGCACAAGAGGAGGTTCATGGATTCCTCCAGTTAGGAGGGGTGAGGTCAGTATGTCCATATGCTCCACAGCCAGCATGACTAACAAAATCCCATTACCTCTTTAGGGAACCAAGTACCAGGTAACCTCTTCTGAACATCCTTACAGCACTAAAAGCCTGATGTTGTTTATGTGTAAGATCAAATAGGATGTAAAAGACTAGCTTTGGTTTGTTCACAGACAGCTTTCTTCACAAACATTGTTTGAAATGTAGTCCATCATCCTATGCTAGACAAATTCTTGCCTAACCATCCAAAACTTGCTGTGGTGTGTGTTGCTCAACATTTGCAGTTCCAGTGCGCTGCTTCTTCCAAGTGTTGTGTCCGATCCACGTGAGCTGCCAAGTGCTGTGAGGAGTGTGCAGGGAACAACAGGAAATCCCGAACTCCACACGCCATGTAGCTGTGCTGCAGAAAGAGACACATCTTGTTTCCAAAGTGCTCTTGGGTCACAACGACCCCCTGCAGTGCTGCAGGCCTGGGGAGGATGAGTTAGAAAGCTTCTTGGTGGAAAAGGACCTGAGGGTGGTGGTCAACAGCCAGCTGAATGCAAGCCAGCGAGGTGGCCAAACAGCATCCTGGCTTGTATCAGTGCTAGTGTGGCCAGCAGGACTAGGGCAGGGGGCATCCCCCTGGACTGGGCACTGGTGAGGCCACATCTAAAATCCTGGGTCAGTTTTAGGCCTCTCGCTACAAGAATGACATTGAGGGGCTGGAGCATGTCCAAAGGACAACAAAGCTGGGGAAGGGTATAGAGAAGAGATATGGTGGGGAGCAGCTGAGGCACCTGGGGGTGCTGAGCCTGGAGAAAAGGAGGCTCAGGGGAGACCTCACTCTTCACAACTCCATGAAAGGAGGTGGCAGTGAGGTGGGGTCAGTCTCTTCTCCCAAATAACAACTGGTAGGACAAGAGGAAACCACCTCAAGTTACAGCACGACAGGTTTAGGTTGCATGTTAGGAAGAATTTCTTCCCTGAAAGGGTTGTCAGACATTGGACCAGGCTGCCCAGGGCAGTGTTGGAGTCCTCATGCCTGGGGAGACTGAAAAGCCATGTAGATGTGGTGCTGAGGGACATGGCTTAGCAGTGACCTGGCAGTGCTGCATTAACAGCTGGACTCCATCTTAGAAGTCTTTTCCAACCTATATGGTTCTGTGATTCTTTCTCCTAAGAAACTGTCTGAATGTTGTACTGGATGGCAGTAGGAAAAATAAACATGAACAGAATAGTTTGTGGGAACAACTGAAGCTTGTGTCCTTCACGCTTCCTCTTCATGAGCAGGAGGATGGGTCACAAAGCTTCATCTGGTGCTTCTCACCTTTTGTCAGCGTATCTGTGCGTACCAGGTACCTGTAACAAAGTCAGCTGCTGTACTGATGTCTGCCACCCAAAGCTCATACAACTTGGCAAGAAAACCCACAGAAAAATCAGTTCTTGTTTATCTTCAGAGTTGCAGTGCAGCTGTAGTCCCATCGGGTGTGTGCCATGCCACTTTGAAAGGCTACAGTTCAGGTTTCTGCTACAAGTGCCTAAGTGGGAAAAACCTTCCGAGACAGCACAACTTGCTGGGTAAATCAGAGAGCAGGAACCCTGTCAGCTCCTGGGGCCTCCTGATGGTAGAACAGCCTTCAGAAGTGGACGTGTGGAGAGAGGGTTGTGAGTTTGAACTGTAGGAGAGACATTCTTATTAAAATACTATTAACCTCAGTATGATTAATAAGCAAGATGGATTTAGTGATAACTTCACCTGCACTACTAGGGCTGGGAACTCCCAGCCCTCCACTGGTATCTGCCTGGCTTTCATCCTCTCTTTGCTGCATCAAGGTCTCTGTTTATGGAGAGCTCAGCCTCGGAGGGACTACAAAGGCAGGATGTTGAGATGTTTCAAGTTACAGCTGTTACAAAAGCACAGCTCTATCCTCCAGCATGTAGCTGCTCGTTTCAGGGTACTTACAAACGTTAAAACGCAAGAGAACTGTAGAATGAAGGCTTCTGTATTTTGAAATTATTTTGATTTCTTCCCCAAGTGCCATAAAAGCACGTACACAGCAGCATCCATATATTTCAAGATTTATTTCCTTGCTAAATCAGCACTGTTGTGTTCTTAACACAATGCCCTTGGGGGAAAATTCTCTTCCTACACTATTTCACTTCACAGCAGTGCGCTGGCATGTTGATCAAAGGCGGAAGAAAATTACAGCTCAGATTTCCTGTATATGGTTTTAAACAACAAACTTTCCATGGAGTGTTAAAATTACAAATTGAGAAACCTTAGCTTCAGTAATGCCTGGACAAACGTCCTTCCTGAATTCCCGTTTTCACCACAAACATGCTGTAGTGCCAGGTGAGGGCTTTGGTCACCTTTGTGCCCACGGATTCACCCAGCAGGAGCATGTCAAAACAGAAGGAGGAACTGACAAATGGGTTTGAAAGTAAGAAATCTCAGTGAAACTGTGGAGGGGGAAAAACTCAGAAGCAGAGGTGGCCTGGCAGGGAGCACCACTGGCCC